TGCATGAGATGAGAACAAGAAAAGGATATTTATTCAGAGCTTGCATAGCAAGGAAGTCAACAATCAGTATGTGTGTTTGCAGATACTCAAAGGCAGGCAGAGGAGTAGGAAGGTTTTTAGAGTGGGGGAAAAAGGGACAGCTTCAGATCTGCTTGATTGAAGGCTATTGGTCTTGAAAAGTTGGAGGCCAAATAACTGGAAGGAAAGCATCCTGTGAGGGTGGTTAGGCAGCATATTTGCCTTTCTCTAGTTGGTCCAAAGTTGGATGTTAGGGAAGGGGGCTAAAAATTGTGAAAGTTGTCTGTTATTGATCAGGTTCTGACCATTTTGGGCTGATTGCCATAGAAGCTCTGGTCTTGGTCTGGTTATTGCAGTTTGTGGGTTAGGATTCTATTTTTATATATGGTCTGACTGTATATTCAGTCTCCCAGAACTAAAGGCTAGTGATGTCATCGATTAAAAATGCTGAGCTCTGAAGCAGACATATAAAGAAAAGTAAAGAGAAGGTGGACTGGGTATTTAAAAATGAGTAATAAGAGAATGGCAGCAGCAAGAGAAAATTTTAAAAAATGAAAATAAATGTGTGAACCACAGTTTGCGAATAAGAGTGGAGATGGAGCAGAAAAAGCAGAAGCAAGCAGGTTAACGGTCTTTTTCTCTCTCTCTTCTGAAAGGTGAGATATCAACAAATAAGATTTAATCAAAGATACTTGAAATTCCCATATGCAACACAGAAGTTATCACAGCAAGCTCATACATTGTTCACAGAGTTTAAGAAATATTCAATTAAATGGAAATATCAAACACATAGGATAGTCAATTTAATGAAATAGAAAAGCCCTTTGATATTTCAGTTGGTATCTTTTAATATTGTGAGCCGGTATTTGTGTAGCAGGCTATTCTTTCAAAACTAGATTAAATTATATGTTTTTCAGGTTGGCTCTTGAGATCAAAATGTCTTTATTCAAGGGCATGCAGGCAAAAGAACAAGCACATCTATCATGGAACATTCAATAGTCCTTTACTGTCTTATGCATCAGATTTTCTGTCCAAACTTCCATGGATTGCTCCAGTCCTGCAGATATGGATCATTCTCTGTCCCCAAGCCCAACTGTGTTCTGTTGGCAGCTGAGAGATTGCATATTGTAATCTCTCTCTCTGATGTATGTCTTCTAAAAAACCCAAACATAAAGAGTAACATGGGTTTATTAATTTTACTTTTGCATATGAAAAGTCACAATGTTACCAGCAATTCAGGAGTTGGAAATTAAACATGCACAAGGAGCCTCAAATCAAAGGCCAGGATGTGGTCCCTGGTTCTTAGCTCCAGTGTGACTCCAACAACCTCCAGTAGAGATAAAGGCAGCATCTCACCATAATTATTCAGTTCTACTCTCCACCAAAAGGAGAATAAAATAATTATTTGCATTTTCTTTTTCATTTTAAAAGTGTTTTTTCACTTTTTCTTTTCTGTCCTTTTGAGGTAATCCTGGATCTGCTTTATAAATGTTATGAAACATATAGGCAGTAAAACAATGGAGAGGAGGAGTTAGCAGTAAGATATGCTATTTAGTTACTTTTATAATATAATATTTTTCCCATTAATTTACTCAATATTGGTAACCACAACCTCTGACTCCCTGGTTCAAGTGATTCTCCTGCCTCAGCCTCCCGAGTAGTTGGGATTATAGGCATGCACCACCATGCCCAGTTAAATTTTGTACTTTTAGTAGAGATGGGATTTCACCATGTTGGCCAGGATGGTCTCTATCTCTTGACCTCATGATCTGCCTGCCTTGGCCTCCCAGAGTGCTAGATTACAGGCATGAGCCACCACACTTGACCAGTAATGTTGTTTTTAACTTACCTCATAAAATATGGTCTTGGATTTCAGGACAGTCCTTGGTATGAAGGGACATTTTTCCATTTGTGTTCATTTCCTTTGAGGGGTTCTCAACACTTGGAATGCATAGGCTCAGTCCTGCTGTGTACTTTCTACACAAATCCTGACCAAGCCTGTGAGTGTGGGCAAATACTTATTCAGCCCAATAGGTAGACTTTGGCATTGACCTGACACTCAGAGTGCCCAAAGTAGTTGCTGTTCTGTATATTCACCAACCACTTGTCTTCATCCCAAACTTTACCTTATGATCAGATTTCTATTTTGTCATTTATGTTAAACCCCAACAATTTTGACTCAGCTTCTTTTTGTCATATACTTTATTGCAGGTGACAGGGGAAGACTGTTGTTCAAACCTCTAGGCACTGGGTCACATCAAGTTCAGACAGAGCTCATTGAAACCATAATGCAGGCCCCTCCTTAAGAAATAGCTACTGATCTACTTCTCCGAGCAACTTTGATCTCATGGCTTGTAAAGCCAAACTGAATTGAATGTGCAAGTGATTTTCAAACCAGTTATGGATATTACATAACAGCTTCTCATGCACATTGTAGTGGTGGGGGTGAGGTCCTCCAGCTTGGATGGCCTGTTTATTCTGGTCTCATTCATTCATTGATGATTACCATCTACGAATTAACCTACTATAGAGAATTATCATAATATTTGTGTGTATGGAGATACAAGGACCAAGGGAGGAGTAGAATAGCCACGCACCCCATGCACATCATAGAGAAAAAGTCCATAGAGATCATTCATCTCTTGGTACCAAGATTAACTAGATATGATGATCTTAGATAAGTGAGATCTTGGATTCCTTTCTTCAGCTGTGAAATAGGAATAATAATTCTTATATAATAATGGTATTGTAAAGATTTACTGACACAATAAATGTAAGGTAAAGATATGTTATATATCAGATTTGTTATATGTTATATATCAAAATTCTGTTATATATACACAGAATAAGTAATTAGTACTGTTTTCCCTTTACCTCCTTTTGTAGGAAAGAATACCTCTTCAAGTAAGTTTTTATTACTAAATGCACATTCTTTTTAAGATTCTGTAACTACTTTATACATGTATAGATGATTCTTGTTATTCATGGTAGTTGTAGTCTATAAAGTTACCATGAACATGGAATTAGCAAATAATGAACCATTGCTTCTAGGGAAAACAGAATTAGGTTTCTGTAAGCTTCTCATCACATTTTAATCAACTGATCAGTACATACCCTTTTTATGTGTGTTTTTATTTAAAGACGTTCGATTTAATATACATGGTTGTTACCTAACATTGAATTCACCATTTCTCATGCCTGCATGAAGCTTATCTAATCAATAGTTTTTCTCTGAAAGGTACATCACAGCCTTCTTGTGCTTAGAAGTACTAGACAACATGTTAGTGGTATAATAGGGGGCCATTTCAAACAAAATCACCAACAAAAACAAAAAAATGCAAAACTATGATACTAAAGAACACTTGTTTACGGTATGAGAGCTGAAACAAGACTGCAGAGAGTGGCCTTGTTTGATCTCAGCTGGAATGTACACGTTGGAACCTACAAGTTTTATAGTACTCTGCACATTTCTACAAATGACTGAAAAAGCACCATCCATGCATATTGCTTTGGGTATATGAATAAATTTTAATGAGTAGACAAATTTGCAAATATGAAATTCACAAATAATGGAAATCTGTACTTTTAAAAAGATGGATATGTATTATAAGACAGGCAAGACTTCCTTTTAGTACTGAATGTATGTGAATATTGTCATCAGCCAAAGGCGTTTATACCCAATGTTCAAACTTCCACGATGGCATTCTTCTTTACGGTTTTTCCCTAGCTGGACTCTGATTTTTAGTAGAGTTATGACTAGTGCCAGCCTCATGGGTCTGCAATTAGTAACGTTGCAAATGCTGCATGCCCTTACTTAGTTTAGTGTTCTGTTGCTATCTTGAAATTCTGAATATTTTTGGAAAGGGGCTCCACATTTTTAGTTTGCAGTGGTCATGCAAATTATTTAGTCTATCCTGCCTATGACAGCCCATGAAGGCTGTTCTTAATTTTTAATTTCCAACAGAAATCCAGTAGAACTATGTAAGCCTATGAAATTTACAGCATCAGGAAAAATGAGGCTTTGAGATCAGGAGAGTGAGGAAATTCACAGATAAGTGGAAGATGGAGAAAGGAATTCTTTAAATCAGATATGAATTACTAAGCTCACATCTAAGCTGCATATGTATGAAATTGATGGAAGTCAATATAGCAAATTCTTTGAGAAGTAATTTACAGCATAGACCACTGTCTAGGTTCCAGATTGGCTCCTGGGTGATATGTGTGAGAGACCAACTGGAATAGCACTGGAAACTAAATTGATATTGGAATGATGGCCAACACAAGATAGGTCAAGACTTGCAGCTTGAATCTAACCAGGTTAATTACTTGCTGAGGCAAAAAAAATTCAATATTCTCCAGAAGATTTTTAATAGTACCCAGAATTTCATAACACAATATTCAAACTATTGAGGACACAATAGAAAATTACCTAACATATTAAAAAAATTTAACAATCCTCAAAGAAATGTTCATGGTTCTATTGTGTGAATGATTTTACTTGACTCAGAACACACATAATTGAATATTTTAGGGCTTTGATATCCTAAATTCTAAATCATTCAATAATGTTTATTGAATGCCTAGTCGGCCAAGAATTGCATATGTTTTGTTCAGATTTATCATCATTTTCCTTGTAAGTTTTTACTCTTTCAAGTTGTCAGTCTTTTTGAAGGCTGGTACATACTTTCTTAAGCTTCTGCCTTTGCCTCAAAGAGAACATCTGACACAGAATGGCAATTCTTAGTTTATTAAGCTTGTCAGTGTTCAGTATATAGAAGTCTGTTGTTAAATTCTTAGGAAGATACCGTACAAAAAGGAGGGCCTCGATCCTGACTGATCAAGTGTGCTGGTTGCTTACATCTCTTGGAGGAACATTTCCTAAATTACATTTTGTGCTGCTGAAGTCAGTATTACTTAAATTATTACTTCAGCAAGGTATTCCTTCCTGATCCCCTTCCCTTCTCCTCAAACTCTACCAAAATAGGTACATACAGTTACTTGTGTATGTTGGGCTCCTGTAGTTCCTTCAGTCTACCAGAAGCTTATTGCCCTAAACACAGATTAGTGTTCTCTTCTTTGCCTCGGTCACTGGTACTCTTGTACAAAGTCAAAGGTATAATGTTTCTGTCCTCATTTCTTTTTCTAACCTGCATCATCACTTTTACATTCTATATTGACAAGTCTGTTTCATCTTCTCTCATTTTTTTTCTTTTTGCTTCCTTCTTTGCTCTCTCTTGTTTTTCGGTTACCTATTTGTGTTGAGTAGCTCAACTTTCATAGTTCTTTATTGGCAATTAAATCATACCTTTTCTATTAGAACGTGAACAGCCCACCAGGTTTATTCAACAAATACTGAGAGCCTAGTATGTACCAGACACTTTTGGGGAGCTTGCATGCAACAGTACCTGAAATAAAGATCTCTGTTCTCATGAAGCTTACAATCTTGGAGTCTTTGTGTTTTTCTCAGCTAATTTTTCACTAGGCTCGCTATAAGAAAGATTTTTCTTTTTTTGTTTATCTTTTGTTTTGTTTTGTTTCTTTTGTTTATTCCACAGGTTCTGCTTTTCCAGTTGTTCAAGGTTACAGCATGTATTAATATGATAGAAAAGAAGACATTACACACTAAATTTCTAAAATTACTAACAAAAAGGTAATCTTTTTGTTCAAATTCTAGCCTTTAAAAATGTTACTAAACTCAACTGTTCTTAGGTAATTTAATATTTTTTAAAACTCTTTATTTCTTCACATAAAAAAGTGGAATACAGTGGAGAGAAACATAAAAGCAATACTAATTCCCAATACCAATTTACCTCACTTAGATTTTCTTTCTCATTTGAAGATAGTTAAAATGACCAATTTAATGAAGGTTATCTTATTTACAGAGGATTACTTCCTGTGTTGTTGTTTCTATTATTAGGGATTACATTTTGCACAAAACTATAGATAAATTATGAGATGTAGATACTTATTTTAATTGTAATTGTTTCCTTAGACAAAGCAGTTAAAAAAAGAAGACACACCAGTCATTAAAAAGTCAAATCATATAATATCAGCAAAGCTATGAACGTTTTCTGTCACACTTTTATCCAAATATTATAGGTAAAAATATTTTGTTAAACATTTAGCAGATCATCTGAACTTCAACTGTTATTCATATAATGAATTGGTGTTATAGTAATTAATTAACCTACATAAGTGTTTAATGTTTTCTAGAATATTCTGGTATTCCAGGCCATCAACAGAAAAAGTTTTGCAAAATAAAATCACTATTCATTTTTAGTGAAATTCTTTAAAAGTTTGCTTAATTGAACCAAACCATATGAAACAGCTAAATGCCACATTACACAGCAAAATATAAAAACCTGTGAGTATCAATATGAAATGTGACTATATGCTTTTTAAATTCCAAATTTTCTGTTCAGTAAAAAAAATCATGTTTGGGAATAAAAACAAACGCCCCATATTTTTCAGCTAAAATGGCTTGTCAGGACAATGAAGGTATTTCTCTATATGCAAAAAACACATAGTATTTGCTTTAAACCAGAAGATAAACACCAAGAATAAGAAAGTTAAAGAAAGGATATTTAAAAACAAACAAATTAAAATGAAATAAGGGACTCCAGCTTTAAACTTCTGCTTTAGAGCATTTATGGCAAAGTTTTAAAGTACCAGCTGTGGTATAATACAAAAAAAAATTGATATCTTAAAATGATAACTGGATTTCTCAATGAAAACAGTCAATACTTTCCTAAATTTTTTTTTTCCCCCCCGATGGGCTTGCACTCTGTCACCCTTGCTGTGTTAACTTATTAACCTACGTAAGTGTTTAATGTTTTCTAGAATATTCTGGTATTCTAGAATATTCTGGCATGATTTCAGCTCACTACAACCTCTACCTCCTGGGGTCAGGTGATCCTGTTACCTCCTAAGGAGCTGGGACTACAGGCCCTTGCCACCACACCAGCTAATTTTTCTGTTTTGGGTAGAGACAGGGTTTTGCCGTGTTGCCAAGGTTGGTCTCGAACTCTTAGGCTCAAGTCATCCAACCCTCCTCTGCTTCCCAAAGTGCTGAGGTTAGAGGCATGATCCACTGTGCTTGGCCAGCTTTCCTAAACTTTTTAAATGCATCTCTGCTAAATAGAAATGTCCTCACACAGCCTTTGTGTTTGATCAGTCAGAAAGTAGATCAGTAGTATATTAATGAAGAGAAACTAAGTCTTTTTTTCAAAGTACTACAGTGAACTCAGGGATTTGAAGGGGTTTACTGAATCAGCAGGGTATACATTTGGCTCAGATTGGCTTTGGTTCACAGGACTGCTAAAAATTTAGTTTACTTTTAATGTAACCTTACAGTTCTCACAGGCCCACTAGAGTCTAAGGAGGGGCCTGGATCATTCATAATTCACTTGTTTCCTGTAAATTCCTTAAGAACTTTGGCTTTTCAGATTAAGAGACCCTCAGGAATGAGGTTGAGGTCTAGCCATGACTCATCACCTAAAGCACTTTTACAAATAAATGCAATAAACTTGAGTGTTCTAGCCATTCTTCTCTTTCTTGTGTCCCCTTCACAAAATTTCAGAGAAAAGCTTCTCATAATGAGTTGATAAATGACAAGAGAATGCTAGCTGAGGGTGAATAGCTAAAGGAAGCCTGTCTGAAAAAAAACTAGTCATAAGAGTGAGCCCAGGAAGTCTGATTTGACTAAACCAGCTCAAATTAAATAATTTAAACAGGATGATAATGGTGAGCAATGACTAAAATTAATGGAAAATGAATGTGTAGGCAAAAGCTTTCCTTTCAAAAGTGCTTTATTCTGAACCAGGAGTTAAATATTCTCTTAGGGAAGTGTATGCTTTGAGAAATTAAAGGAGACCCAAATAAATGGAGGGAGATATTTTGTTCACAGGTTGTTTAACTCAATATCATTAGGATGTCAATTTTCCACAAATTAATATATAGATTCAATGCTGTTCCAATCAAAATATCAGCAGACTTTTTTTTTAGAAATTGACAAGCTATTTCCAAAATTCATATGGAAATGCAAAGGATCTGGAATAGCCAAAGTCACGTTGAAGAGAAAAAAATTGGACGATTACTGGTATAAGTTGGTACTAATTTTAAGATTTCTAAAACAATAGCATTTAAGATAATATTGGTGTCAAGATAGACAAATATATTGATGATTTTTGAGCAATGTGCAAAACAATTAAATGGAAAGAGGATATTCTTTTCAAGAAATAGTGCTAGAACAATTGGATACCCATATGCAAAAAAACCCTAAGAATTTTGAACAAATCTTGCAACATATACAAAACTAACTGAAAATTGATTATAGTCCTAAATGTAAAACCTAAAGTTATAAAATTTCTAGAAAAAAAAAAGCATAGTCAAAGATCTGTAAACATGGGTTAAAGTTTTTAGCTACAACACCAAAAGCATGGTTCATAAAAGAACACATTGATAAATTGGATCACATCAAAATTAAACATTTTTGCTTTTTGAAAGACACTAATGGGGATGAAAAAAATCTACAGACTAAGAGAAAATAATTGCAAATTATATATTTGATAAAAGATTCATATCCAGAATACTTAAAGCACTGTCAAAACTCACTGCTAAGAAAACAGAAAACCCCATAAAAATTTAGGCAAACAATTTCAATGTATACTTCCAAAAATAAAAGATAAGAATAATATATTAACACATAAAAATGTGTTCAAATTTTTTTCATCAAAGAAATGTAAAATTGAAGCCACAATGACATACCATTAGACAGCAAAGTAGTGCTTAGTGTGAAAAAGGCTTACCATAATAAGTGTTAACAAAGATGTGGAGAGACTAGGACTCTTTTACAATTCTGACAGGAAATGTAAACTGGTAGAACCACTTTCAACAACAGTTTGTTGATATCTTAAACAGTTAAACATATAGCTATTTTATGTTCTAGTCACTCCACTCCTAAATATTTAAGAGAAATGAAAGTATATGTATATGCAAAGACTTGTATGTAATTATTCATATCAACTTTATTAGGAAACAGCTCCAATTCTTATCAACCAGTAAATGGATAGAAAACTCTCATTTCTACCAAAAATATAAAAAATCAGCTGGGTGTGGTGGTGCATGCTACTTGGGAGGCCAAGGCAGGAGTAATCCTGGCTACGTGGGAGGCCAAGGCAGGAGAATCACTTGAACCCAGGAGATGGAGTTTGTAGTGAGCTGAGATTGTGCTACTGCACTCCAGCCTTGGTGACAGACTGAAACTCCTTCTCAAAAAAAGAAAATAAAAAGCTTGTTAGTTATTGATATCCATACAACATATATGAGTTTCAAAAATAACCAAGCAGCGTAAAAGAAAGACAATAAAGAGAATGTATAGTTTGATTTCATTCATATAAAATTCTAGAAAATGCAAACAAACCTATAGTGACACAAAGCACATCAGTGGTGAGAGCTGATGCAGGGAGAGATGGGGGAGAGGGATTATAAAGGGACATGAGGCAATTTTGGATGTGATGGATATGCTTATTTTCTGTTCATGGCTTTCTGAGGTTATATGTCTATCTGAATTTATTAAATTGTACATTTTAAATATGTACAGTTTATTTTATGTCTATTGTACCTCAGTGTAATTATAAGGGAAAATAACAACATGATGGTGTTTGAATTCTTCACCTTTAAAATAAGAAAGTTGAGCTAGAATTATCTCTGAGGACTAAAATTCTGTGATTCTATAAACGAGAAGGCAAAGATGAGGTCCAAAAGATAGGAGATTGTACATACAGTGTTGTTAATGTCTTGTTGAAACTGCGAATAAGAACATATATTACTGGGTAATGAACATATTTCTCCTAAAAGAAAATGGATTCTAGTCTGTGACTCTTTGGCCTAGGGGTAGGGAAAATATTCCTCCTTCTAGTTCTAATGGTGGTGACCAGCCATTCTTAGCTCCATAGAGATAGGCTGCAAGGGAATAGTAAAACAGACCTGCAAGTTCTCAGTGACAATGACATTTACTGTACCTGCTACAGTCAATGTCATTGTCACTGTGAACTTGTGTGGAGATATGTCAAGATCCCGGGATATGTGACAATCGGGGCAATGGTGAGGAATACCCTAGGTTCCAGGGATCATGTGAATTTTGGATTTTATACCAAGGTAGCAGAATTTCCAGAGAAATCCTTTTGAATAGAAAGGAGGAAAATGGATGTCTTGAGTCTCAGTCACCAAAGGAAGTAGCATGGCAGCAAATTCGAGAAGGTCAGCTTGGACCTGGCAGACTATGTCCCAAGCACATGTGAGAAAGGACCTCTTGAATCAGTGGATCAGCAGGAAAGACGAATTTGGAAAAAAACCTACATTGACAGCATTTCTTTATGTATCTCAGATAAAGTATATAGTTCAATATGTTGGGGCCAATAATTCAATAGTTAGAAGAGTGGACATGGATTCCCAGTGCCTTCCTTAACCTTCTTCAGCATACATGCATTACAAAATAATGTAGGGTTTTAAAATCATGTTGTACTCCTGACCCACATACCACTATAACCCATCATTATACTGTTTCTGCTAACTTAGCAACTAGCCTATATCTTATATATAGCTCATAGCACAAGACAGCTTTCAGTGGAAGATCTTTAGAAATACGAT